TTAACAGCTTCAGGGTAGAAGCTGTTCCAGGGTAGAATACACACGACTGATCTCTGGAAACATATGAGATTTTTCGATGGTGCTTGAAGAAAAGTTACACCGTAATGCTGTGCTCTTTGAAACCGCTGTAATTTCAATGCCAGCTCACTGGTGCTGTGATTTTTGCATTGCAACAACACGAGCGTGTACCCGCAACAACAGTTACCGGTATATCCTAAACAGTGAATACACTCAACTGGACAGAGGATGAGGTTGGGTTGCTACACATGTTCAAAAAAGTGAGAAGCACAAACAGCACTCTGATATCTGCCATTGTCACTCTTGTTGGTCTACTTGCAGAAAAATTATTGACTCACTGCAATCGTAGTACACATGGGTGGTTGCAAGAAAGTTGAGGTTTTCCTTGAAACGATGCCAAGTGTTTCCAAAAACCTCCACTCTGAGACCTGGAGTCACAAAGTTTTGGTGTCAACAAAAACAACTTCTGAATGTTACAGAAATACTTTGGTTTTACTTCAAACTGGCATTGTGTAAACAGGGCTTAAATCATCCTATACATGCCCAACAAAGTTAAGTCAGGTCCTCTGGATGGTTTCTTTTTATGTTGAGACATTTCGTCCTTCATCCAAAAGACTTCATCGGTACGAGGAGCTACAACAAACTCAGTCCCATACGTTGTTTACTCACATAGTGGCCCAACCAGTTTTATGGTGATGTTTCTGGAGTCCGCTCTCTCCCCCATCGACTCCTCTGAGGCAGCCATAGCCAAAGTGGTTCAAAACCAATGTGTATGCTCAATAATCCAGATAAAAAAAATCCAACAAAGTTAAGTCAGGTCCTCTGGATGGTTTCTTTGTTGTTGTTGAAACATTTCGCTCTTCATCCAAATGATGCCTTTGATGTTTTGAGCCACTTTGGTTATGATTGCCTTAGAGGAGTTGACGGAGGAGATGGTGGACTCCAGAAACCATATTAATCACCATAAAACTGGTTGGCACTATGTGATTAAGCCACTTATGGGACTGAGTTTGTTGTGGCTCCTTGGACTGATGAAGTCCTTTGGATAAAGGACAAAACGTTTCAACCAAACGAAACCGTCCAGAGGACCTTGCTTAACTTTACTGGATTTTTTACCTGGATTATTGAGCATGAACTTTGACATCCTATACATGGATGTTGGTATGGATTCTTGGTCATCCAGGATGTGGCAATCCTGTGAGCTAAAAAAAGACAGAACTGGATTCTTCTTTTTGCTTCTCGGGATGTTTCCCCTCTCATTTGACAGGCTTCTAAGAAAACATGACAACTGATTTAAATTTTAAAGCCACAAACGGCCCACAAAGACCTGCCTCCACTAGTTGCAACAAGCTGAAATTACACTGACTGCTGATTTCCCCACAGAGAGCTCTGTCTTTTTGCAACCTCCCATTAGTCCTCAAAGATCTGAAAAACCACCCATCCTTCCTGTCAGACATAAACAAGCATGCAGCCATTCAGCAGTGTTTGATCAGAGGCTGAGTCACCAAAACACACCGATAATCCATCCAGCAGACAGGATAACCCACAGCAGCCTGACAGTGTTTGGGTTTGAACAGCTGGGAGCCATCGACTGACCTGAAACCCACCAGAACCCGTCGCTCAGGCTGACAACAGTGACAAGACAGCTCGCAAAATTAGGACTCTATTGAAAATCCATATTCTTTATAGATACACTGATGAGGCAATCTGCTAATGAAATGAGTAGGGATTCAGTTGTTAATATGCTATTACGCAATTTATCAGACTTTCAGTTTTTTTTCCCCTCTCTGTTTCTTATAAAAAACATTAAATGCTACAACTGGTGGGCTTTCTGGTCTTTACAAAGTCTCTGACTCTTTGAATTTGACGTCAGCAAATATTAAGTGAAATATGACAATTTGGTGCATCATCTCTGCGGAGACACGTTTAATTTTAATTTTCAGTACTCCACTGTCAACCAGCTGAGCTATCCTCTGTTGTGTTTTAATTAGTTTGATCTTTTCAAAGAAGTCATGGTTTCCATGCATGCAGAAGGCAGCTGAACGTCAAATCCCTGACTCTCACAGAGACGACGATTCAATAGAAGTTAAGCGTTGCTTAAAATGATCCATCATCAATCATTAACGATGCTTCACGGATGTAAGAGTGAACCAGTCTGTGTGTGCTGCAGCACGGATAATAACACTTGAATTATGGGTTATATTTTTCTTTCTTCTGGTTATATTCTTAGTTTTAATCTAATGTGTCAATGAATAATCATTTCCATTTTTATTTTCATTGTTTACATCTTTGGAGTTTAAATCACAAAAAGTCTAATTATATATTTGAGGTGTCAGTGAAGTGAAAGTGTTGCAGGAATGCATCTAAAGGCTGATGGAAGGATTACGTCCAGGAACAGTGCAAAGACCCTTACAAAGAGTTTCATATCGGTGAGGATGATAGTTCCTTATTTATTAGGCAACAATAACCTGAACAAACTAAAACGTAAGTGATGGGTTTACAATATTATAATTTACAAACTTGACATTGAATCCCTGCAGCCTGTCTAATAAAACGACAAAGACCCTAAAGCTCCTCAGAGGGCTGCAGTGTGGACTTTAGTCCATGAACGCTTCTGTTACCTTGTCGTATTACATTTATCCACCCAGAATCCTTGTGTTACATCGGTAATCAAACGAGCCAAAACATCAACCTTCACAAAGACATTGACAGTTAATTACTGTGTTAAGCAACAGTTTTGTCTCCACTGCCAAAATTCTGCGACCCTAAATTTACAGATTCAAGCGATTGAGGTACAGTAAACTCTAAATTGGAGGAATTAACCCTCAAATATATAACGAAATGTATAACTGTCACACAATTCGTGCTGATAAAACCAGTCAGTATTATTTAAAACTTAACTTATTTGACAAAGAACGGTAAAACCGTTAATAGTTTGAAATTTAAATTAACTATAATAACAGTAACATTATTAAAACCAATGGTTTGTAACTTTTTAAAGCCACTCTCACATAAAACAATCTACATTTGTATTTTTTAACCTGGAAAATCTCTAACACAGCAATACTGTAGAGGTCACATTTAAAAGGAGAAACCCGTTCCTCATCTGATGGGTCAAACAGGTGAACATGATGTTAATGGTTGAAATAAATTGTTGGAAGTACTAACGAGGAAAATATCAAAATGATTTAAAAAGACCAGCCACAGTTAAAACGTCTGCAACGTGCGAGAAGAGCAGCCGTTTTACTCTTAAAACACTAACTTCAGCTTATCTAAAATATAACTGCGAAAAATACAAAAATGTGATGTCTCAGCTGATTTACGTGCCCAAAATTACAGCGAATTAATTTGAATTATTGCTTCCTTATCGTTGCAGTACATGCTGACGTTCAGACACACAAAAGACACACGAGTAAACAAGTTTTGGAAAAACAATCAAGTTTTATTTTAAAATGACTTCTTGTGCCCACTCCGTTCTCTCTTCTTTTTTGTCTTGCATTATGTTTTTTTTTTAAATCACTGTCCATAACAACACTGTTAAAAAAAAATCAAATCATTAAAAATTTAAAATGGACGAGAAAAGTATTTTTTTTTCCTTTGGGGGGAAGGGAGGATTGAAACTAAATAAAGAGAGATGCTACAACCGACAAATGGCTCCTCCTTGGTAGAAATGAGCCTGGACTCACATCCTGTGCGATGTAAAGGAGGATAACCAATCACAGTGTAGTGTCCACAAGCTCCCATGATGCCCCTCTCTCCACGGGAGACTAAGGCTGCCATACACAGTGGGTTACAGTACGCACACACATGTAGAACAAGAGATGAAACACCAGAGGAAAAGATCTCCATTCTCAGAGAAGAAAACAAACGCTGCTTGTGATCAAACCGTTAACATCGAGTGAAACTGGGACGATCAGAGGGATTCAAAAAGGCTGATGAATTACAGACGACTCTGACGCTGTAATCCAAACACAGAAGTCTGGCTCCAGATGAAAAGGCGCCCTCAGCATCGTGACTCAGTTCGACTCGAAACGAGCGGAGAATACTCAGAAAATGGAGATCCTTTCCTCTGAGAGGTACGGTGTATTTTTTTTAAGAGTGTGTTCTGGCGTCAAACACACACCTACGAGTGAAGGGTTCAAAATGAGACGTCTGTTTCTGTTTTCTTTAGATGTTCCAGTGTTACCGTTTTATTTGTGGAGTGAAACCTTCAGTTCGTCAGGACAACACATTGCGTTTGATTATTTTTGACAAACGGTGCTGCAGCCTTGAGGGCAACTTCTTTTTCTCCCCACTGTGGCTCAGCTGAGATGAGGATGACGATTCACAGCACAGTACATAACCAACCATGAGCTGACCAGGAAGAGGGTGGGGCGTCACAGAGAAGGCCATCTTTAAGAGTGCTTATAGACCAGATTTTAACCGTTTGCGTTGACCAACATTCAGAAATGTGCTTATTCAGTCTGCAGAGCATACACGATTTGATCTTTAAAAGGAAAAGATTAATATCTCAATATGTGTTTAACACATGTGTTTTTCTGCAAATTTGAACTTGTCATGCATGTAAATTAAGAGAGGTGACTGAAGGTCTGGCCTTTTCCCTTTGCGCCAAGATGAGCTAACCAGAGATGTAACCAGTTTAATCCCCTCCAAACTAAAATGCATTTGTCTCAAAACATCAAACTATTCCTTTAAAGTAAGCTTCCTTGGAGTCATGGAATGTGCGCAAGTCAAGTTCTCAAGGAAGTTGTTTCAATCTGCACAAGCTTCAATAAAAAAACAACAGCAACAAAAAACATGTTAAAATCGAGTAAATAAGCACCCATCTGTGGAAAGCAACTCTACAATTCATTATTGGATCAACTGACCATTTAATCTAAGTATTTAGTGGTTACTTACAACTTCTCCATTCTGCCTCACCCTCTACCCAAGAGGTAGCAGCCCAGCCCCAACACTCCCCCCCTCCCACCCAAACTTTGCCCAATCCCTCAACCCATATGCTTCCAGTGAACCGCGGTGGCTCCTCTACTCTGCCTGAGCATCATAGTTGGCGCCGCCTGCCTTCTTCAGTTCCTTGCGCAGGTAGTCTTCTTCCAGTTCTCGTGGGTCGCTGATCATGAACTCCTTGGCGAAGTTCTGCAGAGACGAGAACAAACGAAACAAACCTCAACGATCCGTTCAGAATCTGAGATATAAAACACATTTTCTAAAAACTGAATCGAGCAACATCTGACCTGTGCTGGCAAAATGAGTCACAACGAGGAAGTATTATTTTCAAACCCTCCATCTTTAAAGCTTCAATATTTGGTGATTTATTACCGGGCAACATGATAATTTTATAACTTCATCTTTATTGACCTAAAATGATATCAGGAATTCCAGCCCTGTATTTAAAAAAGGAACCCCAGAGCTTTACAATGACGCCAAACATTATATGAAAGGATTTCCCAACACTGCGTCACCTGGCAGAGAAAAATTGTAAATTTTAAGGGTTATAAGATGACATTTTCTGAAGACATACCTGTTAATAAACTAGACTTAAAAGGTAGGTTAGGAAGATTATGATATTTTAGGAGCCAGGCTCGCTAGATGGTGTCTTTATGGGTATAATTTTACAAAAATCTCAATCTAGACAAAAATAAAAAATAAAAATCAATATTTTCACGTTTTTTGTACTGAGCTCATTCCAACTCATTAAGCCACATACTGTTCAGCTAATGTAAAAAAGAAAACAAAATACAGTAGTCCCTCGTTTATTGTGGGGGATCTGTACCCTGAAGTCCCGCGGTAAGTGAAAAACCGCGAAGTAGGAATAAGTAGTACAAGTAGTAAGTAGTAGTTTAATTTATTATTTATAAATATATATTAAAGCCTTTTAAACCCTTCCCACACTCTTGCAATATTCTAAAAACAATGATTCTAAACTCTAAACGCTCTAAAAGAGAACACAGAATGTCATGATTTCAGCTCCCTGCCTCCGCTGCTCTCAGCCACCTGCAAGCGCTCTTGGCCACGCCCACTTCTCAGCTCTGCAAGGTGAACAGCTGATCAGCTGCAGCAGGAAGTTTATCCTGCAGTGTAAGATGCACAAAGGTGCAGGAGGAAGCTTTTTCTGCAGCTCTGGGCTGCACGAATGTGCAGCAGGTGCTAAATAATTTAAAATAATTTTGCATAAAAATCCCATGCCGATCGTGCGGCTCATCCATCAATCAGCCAGTTGTGTGTCATGTCCAGCCTTCTTTTGAAAAACCGCGATAGAGCGAGGCCGCAATAAACGAACCGCGAAGTATCGAGAGACTACTGTACTTGTTTAGCTGTACAGATACACGTATTAACACCTATTTACATTTTTCTAAGAGGTCACTTAGCTAATGCAACAGCATCACTTTAACTTTCTTTTATGACTTCCTTCCAGTCCACCGTTCCAACAAACGGGTTTGTTCTGCTTTAGAAAGCAAACAGTTGCTAATTTACTCCATAACCAGTTTCCCCCAAAGGAGCCATTACTTTAATTGCTTTGTTCTCTGGCGTCTCTGACGTCTCTGACCTGCACAACGTCTTTGACCAGAGTCTTGTCGGTGCTGATCTTGGCCCGCTGCAGCCCGCTGATGTTTTCCCCGATCCAGGTGATGAGCGTGAACTTTGCTCGTTTGCTCATGGCATCTCCCGTCGTGAATCGGATGAAGCCGAACAGACGCTCGTCATCTGAAGCAACACAAGGAAAACACATTTGTAAGACCGAGTAAACGTCCTCTACGTGTAGAAAAATAAATAAAAACACACATTATAATCAGCAAGTGGCTTTAAAAAGTAAAACTTATTTCAGCTTTTCACAAAAAAAAACATCTTCTCCTGAGAAGATATGACAGTTTGAATAATATGCAGCCTGGTTACAGCACTAAAATAACTTCTGAAGTCTAGATCGAGGTGCTTCATGTGTGAAATGGTGAAAAAAACAAAACTTGCTGCGTCGCAAAGATTCAAGAATAAGAGCTTGTTGAGATTAATACAAACAGGAAGTATTCAGGTCAGTAGACTCCATGATTCAATCTTTTGTGAGCTCGGCAGTTGTGTCACCACGCCTGTCACTGATGTTGGCTGAGGAGAACAAGCAGGACGACAAGAACAATCAAATTTCTACTCCCGCTTTTGTTCGGCTCTCACTTCAAGCCATCAAGTCTTGTTTCAAATAAGAGCTGGACGCAGATTTAAGAAACAAAGAAGCTACAGATCTGTTTCCATCCACTACTCGTGCAACTACGGAGCGTGAAGATCAGAGCAGGAATACAAATTAATAAAGATAAACAACAAGGTCTTGTTTCCTGGAAGTTATTTAAGGTGTCACCGGATGTAGTTTTATCTGAAGTCCACATTTACAAAATGAACATTTGATGGTTAAAGAGTGAAGGCACGTGACTCCACTGGACTGATCAAAAGTCACATTGTTAAACCGACTGCTGCTGAGCACCAACAGTAGACTCCTTTTCTCTGCTGTCAAAGTGTCTTCAACACAAAAGTTGTAAAAAACAAACAACTGAAAGCAAAGTCGATGCAACAATCGGTTTGACAAAAGCAGCTTTTTATCTGCCTTGTGTGACGTTTGTCCTGTTCACCTTTTTATATTCTTGTTAATGGTCACATGTTTATGTCCTGCTTTAACGTTTATTTCCTCTCAAGCCAGTTTCTAACGTACAAACTTAGAACTGCTGTGTTGGAAATAACCCAATTTGTAACTCGCATTAACTGAGCTAATCCTGGGTAGCTTTTAGCTCCTCAGAACTGGGTTATTCGTTCAGTTTTCCCACTCAAAAAAAAAAAAAGAAAGAGGAAACAACTACCGTAATTTCCAGACTATTGAGCACACCCGAATATAAGCCGCTCCCATTAAAACAAACAAAAAAATAATAATAATGTTGTACATATATAGATCGCACTTGTCTATAAGCTGCAGGTGTCCATGTTGTAACATGATATTTACGCAGAAAGATTTTTTAAAACTTTTAATTAAATACATACCAGGTAACGTACAGTAAATGTATTATTCTGACAGTGTCTGTAATACGGCTGGTTAAAAAGAACAATGCAGTAGCCTACCAGGATGTCATTGATCACTGTCTTCACCTTCCTCCTGCACAAAATTGTGCCGTCCTCTGTCACTCAGCTGCCTTTCAAAACAGGGAGGGGAGGAGAGAACAAGTTGTTTCATTGGCCTCCCCTCCCCATTTCATTGGTCAGATTTTTTTACTTTTTTTACCTTTATACAGGTAGTCTCATTGAGTCACGAAGACCCACCCCCCTAAGAGAGACATGTATTGGGCAGCTATGTGAGCGCCCGTGTGTGACGAGGCTAAATGTTTTGGTGGCATGAAGCTCGTTAGCCCGTCAAAAAAGAAAAATCCATAAATTAGCCGCAGCATTGTATAAACTGCGGTGTTCAAAGCATGTGAAAAAAGTAGCAGCTTATAGTCTGGAAATTATGGTAATTTGTTAAACTAGAGCCACTAAAGGGCCCTGCATACTCCATCCAGAGCGGAGAAATCGTCTCTCAAACCGCGTCATTTTGTTCTCAGCACTCAGCCCGCCACTTTGACACGAGGCCCGGACTTCTGGATTAAAATGGCCAACTACGACGACTGACACAACTCATCACCAACCGAACCGACTCAGTGATATTTGGTCAAACTAACACAACTATGACCCAACAGTCTTCACCCAACAACTGAGTTATCAAACTAAGCCAGAAGATAAAGTTGTGTAAAGATTTTGGAAAAAAACAGAGCATCTACTGAAAACGGAGCACAATGGAGCAAAAATAGCAAACACGTTACAGCTTTCTAAAATATAAGATATTTCATGATCACACGACGGTTCACAGAAAAATCTGCCATCGCATTTAACTGCTAAGAGCTGATAAATATCTCAGAAAGATATTCGAGAACTGCTCGAAGAAGACCCCAATGGAGATGGCAAAAATAAAAGCAGTTCCAAGAAGCTAATTTCTGTCCTTCCTTTCAGTCAGACCAAAGACTTATGGGTATAATCTGAGAAAAATTAATGCTGCTGAAAAGCAGCAGAAGATAAACTACAAAAAAAACTTTTCTTTAAATATCTACAACAAAGAGGGAACACAAAGTGAACTTGACCAGTAAACACAGCCAGGTTAAAATTTTTACGATGCAAATTTCCTCTCCTCACTTTGACCTGATTTATTCCAACCACTCTTTTAGTCAACTGTACGTTTCACAGATGTCACTGCAACGAGATTAACTATATTTTGGGATTCAATTTCATCCTATATTTTCTAATTGGCTAAAGGAATTTATAGAATTTGACACATACATTGCAAAATAATAAAATAAAAAAAGATTAAAAGGTTCAATAAACAAGTTGATCTTGACATTTCAAGTAATTTCTTGCTTTATTCACTTTGGCCTTAATTAAGAATAGCACCAGAACATCAGTGGATAAAATATAAATATTAATCCCATATCTAAAGATGGCAGAAGTTGGAGCAAAAATGAGCTATTTGTACTTTTAGTTTAAAACAATAATCTCTGAGTTGTTCTGAAGACGTAAAGACATTTAAGCTGCTGTGATTAGAAGTTTTTACAGAAGAAAGAGCGTTATCTTTGAGAACCTGTAGAAGCGGCTTGTTTAAATATTCCTGGCAGCAGGACTAACGTAGCGACAGTTAGCAGGGACTAACAGGTCTTATCAGTCTGACAACCATAGTTTAAACCCTTAGTCCTATTCAGAGTCACCTGATTGGATCACATCAATCAGCGCGGCGCAGTGCGAGTTACCGCGCTCATTCCAAAGTGACAGTAATTTATTATTCAATGCACTCTTTGTCCTGCCTCTTATTGTAACTGTTTGAGCTGCCAGAGAGGAACAGGAACAAACAGAAATCCTGACCTGAAGCTCACCACACCTCCCAACTTCCTCCCTCTGTCAGACTATTCCTGGTTTATCTTTCCTCCAACGTCGTGCTGACTCTGCAGTCAAGCTCCACGCTGCTGCAGAGAAAACTGCACTGAAGATGTGACGATGATGAGGCAGCAAAAAAAAAAACAACAAAAAAAACAGACATATCGGTGTGCATAATCCAGCTTCCAAAACCAAAGGATGTCTCTGTGACACGCTCTTCCTTTGGACACTCCCTCAGCTCACATGCCGTCTCTCTCAGAGCAACCAGGAAACCAGAACGGTTTCCCTGGACTGGCCGGAGAGAAGTGAAGCCACAAAAGCACCAACTTTATCCAAAGTTGGGGTTTATGATGATAAAGACTTGTCAGTTTACTTAAAGCAACATTTCACTAATATCTGCTGGATATTCAAGGTTCCCCAGAGGAACTATCACAGATTCTGGATCACGGACAATGTTTCCGCTCTGCCACCTATTTAACAAGAACATAAAATATTGTAAATACGACAAACACGTGTATATTTTTAAAACTCTGAACCTCCCAAGACAAGATCCTTAGGCCTGAAATAATCTAAAGGTTTAGGTTTTTATGCCCCCCCCCCCCCAAAAAAAAACAACACTTTGGTTAAAAATCCACTT